CTGAGAATCCAGGAAGGATTCACACCAATTTGGGTTTCGTGAAAAGCATGGAACTATTGAGGAGGTCAACCGGATAACATCAGAAATTCGAAACGCTTTCGAAAAACGAGAGTACTGTACTGCCATATTTTTAGATGTCTCTCAAGCATTTGATAGAGTCTGGGTAGAAGGTCTAATGTACAAGATCAAGACAATGCTCCCTTACAGCATCCATAAGATTTTAGAGTCTTACCTTCACGACAGAAAATTTGTTGTGAGGTGCAACACTGCTATATCTGATGATTACACTGTTGGAGCTGGAGTTCCTCAAGGTAGCGTGCTAGGGCCAACACTATATGTCCTCTACACTGCAGACATCCCGACAAGCACACGTCTAACTACATCTACGTTTGCCGATGACACAGCTATTCTTAGCCGTTCTAAATGCCCGATTCAAGCAACTGCGCAGCTAGCTCTTCATATGGTCGATGTTGAAAAATGGCTATCAGATTGGCGAATTAAAGTGAACGAATTAAAATGCAAACACGTTACGTTCACTCTGAACAGGCAAAACTGCCCGCCAATTACGTTAAACAACACTCTACTCCCACAAGCAAGCGAAGTAACTTACCTAGGAGTACATCCTATCCAAAAGAACACACCAAATGCTAAAAGCCAGCAGCCTTCATTGGCTTATCAACGCCCGGTCACCTCTTAGCCTTGATCATGCTGTACAACTCGGTACTAAAACCTATATGGATGTACGGCTCCCAGTTATGGGGGAACGCCAGCAATAACAACATTGACATTGTTCAGAGAGTTCAGTCGAAGATCCTGAGAACAATCACCGGGGCACCGTGGTACGTTCGCAACGAAAACATACACCGCGACTTAAATATTCAACCAGTCAAAGAAGTGGTCGCAAAACAAAAAGTAAAGTACTTCACCAAGCTATCGGTGCACCCTTACCACCTGGCGAGAGATCTAACAAGGTTGAGCAACCAATCACGCCTTCGTCGCAATGACCTACCCACCCAGCGACCGACCTGAGGGACGCGCAACCAGAATGCAGTCTGAGTATACTGTTAGTTAAATTTTAATGTTAAGATTCGTCAACTTATTGTTAGTCTCAAAATTAAGAGTAGATTCAATAAATAAAAGCAAAGCTATAATAAAAAAAAAAAAAAAAAAATACACACGTACACATATACACTCATCTCAACCACATTCAGCGCGTGCCCAACGGGTGCATGCGTGTGAAGTGACACTTTATTAGGAGTGAAATTACTTAGCGCTGTGAAACAATGACTACACAGACAAAACCACAACCTCTTGTATCCTTTTTATTTATGTGTTGGAATAGAGAAAGATATACAAAAACACACATTTTATTACGGTGCGAGCATGGATCTTCCTCATCGGTTCCACATGTCAGGTTTCCACACGCATCTGGGGTTTCCACTCAACCATACACACGCACACACGTAGACAGAGGCTTACAAATATAGAAATTGACAATGTGTTTTGAGAAAATTCAAGACGTTCCCAATCCTCCTAATTAGGGTCAGGAATACATTTCAATATTCCCAAATTACGGATAGGGGGGGTCGGAAAACTAATCATGACACAATCGTCACATTTTATTACTTCTTTGAACACGTGCACTGATTTTAAAAACTATAATTTATAGGTTTATGATTTCTGTGCCAGAATCCATACTGACTAAAAGGGTGAGGGGGAATTCTTATCACAGGAGACGACGGACAATGGGTTTCGGGGTGGGGGAAACCATGTTTTTATCACTAATGTGATAACTTAATAGCCCATAAATCTGTACCAGAACCAGCGAAAACGAACTACTTGCGCCGTTGCTCAACGTTTTTGGCCCTAGACTGCTACCAGAGGAAGGACATAGTAAGCAGGCGCATGCCCTTTCGCGCTGCACGAGTAATAAAGGCTTTCAAATTTGAGGGCAGCGTCATCAGAAATTGTGGTTTGGCTAATAGGCTGTCACCGAGCGGTGTGCCGCCGCATCCGGTCTGCCCTGTGGCGCCGACTCCTGCACCTGCAGACAAGGAGAGTGTATCTCAACAGCGCAGGCAGCCAACGCCAGATCAGAACCCCGGCACTTCTTATGGATGCTATTCAGGAAAGTAATCGGATCTGTCTTCGAGAAATGTCCTTCTCGCTACTGCTCTTATCACCGTGCGGAACCCGGTCAACGGACTGCACGCTGTCATAAATGCCCTGGTCGACCAAGGATCGGAGGCAACCATTGTTTTCATTTGCCTCGCAACAAAGGCCGTGCATTTAGAAGCGGTGACAGGCCTCACCACGGAACATTTTTTGCTGGCGCTGGACAGATTCACCGGGAGGAGAGGGATGGTTTGGCACCTCTACAGTAACAACGGGACCACCTTTGTGGAGGCGGACAATCTAATCAAGAAGTTCTACGGTAAGCCTTAAGAAGATTACGATCAACTTATAGCCCCCAAGCTCGCGTCACAACGGACAACGTGGCACTTCAATCCTCCTCAGTCGCCCAACTTCGGCGGGCTGTGTGGAGCTAACGTGAAGTCGGTTAAACATCACCTGAAGAGGGTCATTGCGGATCGACGGCTCACCTATGAGGATTTTCTACGGTGCTTATAAGCATAGAAGTCTTAACTCGCTGCCGCTTTGCCCTCTCACAGCGGAAGCAGACGACCTAGAGGTGGTAACGCCGGCTCATTTCTTAATTTGTGACTCTCTGCATGCTCCTCCTGAGATTCACCCACAATCTAAGTCCTTCGCGGAGCAGTTCCTGGTCCAGCAAGCAATAGTAAGTCATTTCTGGAAGGCTTGGACTCGAGACTGGCTAGCACATCTACAGCAGAGGCCCATGTGGTGCCGCGAGGCTGAAGGACTCCAGCTTGACGACCTCGTCATAATCAAGGACGACCGTATTCCGCCCGGGGACGGATACGTTGGTTCGTGTTGTTACGCTTAAAACCAAGCAAGGCCGGTTGAAGCGTTCGGTGTCGAAGCTGTGTCCACTGCGGATCCGATCATAAGCGCCCTCACATACTCACCTCAATTATAATTAACTTGTTTCTTGCGCACACTTCTTGTTTACTTTCCCTTACTAGATTCTACCCCACAGCCAGGATGGACCGGACAAGCGAAGGTTTCTCATGGTAGGTCTAGCATTGGCGGGTGGCATGTTAAGCTTACTGCTTGTCCCAGTATGGTGGAAGCTGGGAGCGGGGAGCGATCAGCTGATCGCTCTCGCACTTTGGGACGATGCGTGGGATCGTGAGAACGAAAGCGTTAAGGCAAAGGCAGTCATCTTCGGCAAGCGAGAGAACACGCACGTCTCATCTAACGCGGGACGCCATTAACATATGTGCTATATATATATTAATAAACGTGGATTTTGTAAATTTATCTGTCAGTGTTTTGCACTGCCTGGGATCCCCTCTTACAATGACCCTTTGTTAGTCAAATACAAGGAGGCACAACTTGGACGGAAGGACGGACGGACGGACAGACGGACTTGGCTCAATCGACTTCGCTATAGATCCTGATCGAGAATATGTATACTTTATAGGGTCGGACAGGATTCCTTCTAAATGTTACATTTTTTTCAACGAATCTATTATACCCTTCGTGTAACGGGTATAATTATGATCAAGAATCGAGGTGCACAAGTTCTAAAAACAGTACAAAATGGTGAACACATTACATTCTGCAATGCTGATTCAAGATTGGAAACATGGTCATGCCTCTTTTACGCAAATCGAGCAAGAAAAACCATTTCACTGTATTAATAATAACTAAATGATCGTTTGATGTAAAATTAAAACAATATTCAATTGTTTGTTTTTTGTTCTGACGATCGGATTGCTGAAGTAATTTAAAAACCTTCTTCTTTTATTAATTAGTATGTTAGTAAGTTAGTATGCGCCATAAAACCAGAATGTCTTGCCTCTGGTGCCTTAAGTCTGATATACGAATATATTCAAGTTATCAATATTTACCAATTGAATCATTTTTATTGGGTGTATAAGTTTAAGTTTTAAGCTTTTAAGGTTTGAGTGTTTCTGGTTTAATTAAGCGATGGTTAAACAATATGCTCGAGCTGTCTAAAACTAAATTACTCAGATTTAAAAAATATCATAATAAAATAAAAATATCATTCATAATATTATTATAGACGCCACAGTGTTCCGCGGTTTGTAGGCGTTATAGTGGGCGTGGCAAGATAAAAACTCGTGAAAAGTTGAAATGGCATCCCTAAAATACGTATTTTTAAGCCTAACTTTCTAGCTCTTTTAGTTCCCGAGATTTTTCCTTTTTGGTTTTTTGGCTTTTGTGGGCGTTAGGATGGACGTGGCTAGATGGAAAAAACAATTCACATTTGGGGCATCTTTAAAATCTACCTGCTTATTCCGAACTTTCTATTACTTATAGTTACCGAGAGATCAGGTTTTCTTGAAAATGCGAAAACCGTATTTTGAGCTTGGTGGGCGTATGGGTGGGTGTGGCCAGATAATAGTAACATTAAAAGATGCGCTGGCATCCAAAGTTTATACATACTGAATTTCAACTTTCTAGCTCTAATAGATCCCGAGATTTTAGCGATTTTAGTTTTTCGCGATTTGTGGGCGTTAGAGTGGGCGTGGCAGAATGTTGAAATAAACTTTCGCTGTCCCGGGACCTCAAGAATCTTCATGCCTAATCTCAACTTTGTATCTGCTATAGTTCCTGAGATCTCAGCGTTCATACGGACGGACGTAAGGACGGACGGACGGACAGACGGACATGGCCCAATCGACTTCGGTATTGATCCTGATCAAGAATATATATACTTTATAGGGTCGGAAACGCTTCCTTCTATCTGTTACATACTTTTCAACGTATCTAGTATACCCTTTTACTTACGAGTAACGGATATAAAAATTGTATCATTAATATTGTGTTTTCAGCTTGCTTGTGTAAGCGTTTACGCTTAAGCTGGCACTCGAAAACAACCGAAATCTTCAAAATCTGCAGTTACCGGCTTCTGCGGTGTTACGAACGGACATCACTAGAAATATATCAATAAAATCTTTTATGGCTTTGATTTTTTAGAAAGACATATCGAAGATAGCCGGTGGTATACTGTCAATAAATTCGACTGACTTCACCAACATGGCTGAAATTGTTTTATTCATTTTATTGCGATTCTGTTTTCCTTTTACATTGATTATTGGTAAGAGTTAAGAAAGTTATTCATCTTCATATTGATATTTTGTTTTTAACGTATAGTGTCATTGGTGCGACCAGTTGGAATATCTTATCTATATTTAGTTATGTTTTTCTTATCACCTTGGCTCCTACAAACCACAAGTTCAAAACAACGATCCTTTTTAAACGTATATATTATACATCTTTGTGTTTTAAGTGTACTGTGTATTATCGGTCACCTTCTTATAAATCTAATCAATTTATTTTTCATTGATTTAAGCTCTAAAAAAAAAGTAGCATTTATGTTACGGCAAATTGGATTTCTGTATTTTAAAAAACTCAGGTAATATTAAAATGCATTTCATATTAAAAACATAACATTTCGAACTAGTTTGGGGTCCATTGCGCACTGGATATTTCCAGATATCTTAATACTCTTGGAAACTATTGTCTTTTTAATTTGTTCTAAAATTTACTATAAGAGGCAAAATAAACTTTTCCGAGATGTCGCCAACAATCAATCGAGAATTGAGTTTACAGGTGCATTAAAAATAACTGAGATGAATAGGCTTTTGATCATTGTTTATATTCGATCTGTTCTGAAGAATTGTAAGTATAAGAACTTACAAAATATATTATATAAATAATATAAGATTAAATTTTTATCCGACAGCTCCTATATTTTCGCTGATTGTGCTATATTTTGCTGCAACATTAAGACCGTCATTGCCTGGGACCTTGTACTTTTTAATGTTTATCATAGCTGGCACATATTGGTCACTTTATCGCCAAATTCACCGGTTACTATTAAAAATTTTAATGTACTGAATTTTAATATGTTAAATATGGTTTTTCAGGGGTATGTACTATCCTTTTATACTTATGGTTGTTGCTCTTTTGGTACACATTTCATGTATATTTGCTTACCAATTGTCTGTTTTGCAACAATCAATTAATAGTAAAAAATTGTGGGCCAGGTAAGTGCAGCTTAAAATGCTTCGAAATATGCTGATATTTTTATATTTTAAATTTGCCAGGGTTATCGGATTGGAAGCTTTAATTCGCCTTTTTGAAGAGAATAATAACGAACAAATCATGGAGTTAAACACTAATTTAAATTTTGATTCATATTTAAGCCCCATTGCTTTAATGTTAGCTTATTTTGCATCCACATTAAGCCTTATAAACCATTCACAATACGAGCTGACATTTAATACGATTAGAATGAATTTGGGACCCAAGGGTAATAATTTAAATGCGAACTCCCTCCAACCAGTTGACGATAAAATTGAAGAAATACTGATAGATACAGAACCTTCAATGCTGGAACAATTTTTTTATATGATTTTTTATATCACTTCGTTTATTTATAAAAACAGCTACATATTACTGAATATAATAATGATGGTATGTATTTATTATAAGACGTTTTTATACTTAAAGGCACCTAACATGTTAATCAGCTCAACAATTCCACAGAATCTATATTTCCTTAATAATGCAAAAAATAGAGCTGAGCATGATTGAATACTTCACCAGCGTAGATAATGAGGCAACAGTTAACTGTTTCATGAAACCAAGACTCAAAGCCCTATTATCTGGGCACGTTTTGTGGCTATGGAGTTTAAGTTATGGGTCAAATAGTTAAATATAATATATACGGTAAAATGGCTTAGTGTCAAAATTTATATTTAGGTATACAACTATAAAGTAATTATCTTAGAAGAAGACGAAGATAAATTGAATATGAAGTTAATAAGTTTAGAAGTTTAAAAATCCGAGTTGATATAACTTAAGAGGATAGTTCGTGGAGACAGAGGCCGTGCTAAATTCAGTTTTACTGAAGTCAGTTTGAATTTAAACAGTTTGAAACAGTTTAGGGAATGGCTTACAAATTGTTGAGGATCAAGATTTTTTTTTGAGGGAATGTTCTGCAATTAAAGGTGAAACATACAGTAGACTAGAAGTGGTCGATCTCCGCTTAACAAATCCCTGTTGAAAAGTTGATATAATTGAGGAACGAAAGTATTTCAGATGAGAGGTAAGAATTGCATACAACTTAGAAATAATAATTGTATATTTCTAGATAGTAGGAAAGATTGATGTAGAAACCGAAAAATGAAAACAATTTATTATTGGTTTTTAAATAGATGATTTAAATTGTTTAACCCTGATGCCTTGTGAGGAACACTTATCTTGGATGTACTCTAAAAACCACACCTGCGGTTTCTGCGGAAATATGTTTTTCTTGTAAAATTACATTAAGTAGTTTTTTCGAAACTCTAGGATTACCTCGCCGGACACTACCAGAGGTGTGTCCTGAATCAGCCATCGGTAAGGTTGCAGCATCAATAGGGATAGGAGGCTTCGAGGTGTTAGTTGTGTCCATGGTGTCAGATGGCTAAAATCCGTTTTCCCGGGCTGAATTGTAAAGTCACCTTTAAAAGTCAGTTTACCTCATTTCAACGGAATTGAACCCCTCGTTGAGCTTATTAATAGCTTAATAAAGACGCTAGAAAAGTCTGCACTCTAATGTTATGTATGCATTTAATGTTTCAAGCGGGATAATGCACTCGTTTACTTATTCTTCTTAGTGTTGCTATTAACCTTATTATAAACGGCATTGAACCCTTCGTTGAGCTTATTATAATTGCTTCAGAAAGACTCAGTAGACCGTATCGTGGCTGCACGTTTAAGGCCCTCATTTTGACTACAATTTTCCAGTAGGTCTCACAGACCCAATCAGTTCTATATAGCCATTCACTCTGTCAACGAATCCTGCATGACAGAGATTTAAGCCTTTTTGGTTTTCCGAATTTTGTGTGCGTTCGAGTAGGCGTGACCAAATGCTGTGAAAATAGTCTGCATTGGGGGCGTTATTAAAAACTACTTATCAATCCCAACTTATAATCACTTTTAGTTATCGAGATATCAGCGTTTCTACAAAAAACAAAATTCTATCTAAATCAGGAAAAAAATATATATCTATATATAACAATTGTAACCATCAAGCGCTAACCGGCACAAAATGACTCGAGCATTATTATGAATATATAAAATTAAAATGTTTAATCAAAATCGCACTCTGAAAACTTTCACGAAATATCTAAATTAACTGTGACCTGTTA